AGCAGGCAACTCTCGGCCCTCCTCCTCCCAATCGCCTACCCATCGCCCGCCCGCTAACCGCATAGCCCTACCCGCCCCCCTACCCATTAGCCCTCCGCCCGCCTACCCATAAGGCCCTCCCGCTCGCCTACCCATCAGCCCTCCCCGCCCCGCCTACCCATAGCCCTCACCGCCCGCCTACACGCATAGCCCTCGCCTACTGGCATCGTCCACCGAGAGCTGCGTGCATTCAACTCTCCAGCTGCGAGGTTAAAGGAACATGCGAGCATGGGTCGCCGGGCGAGCGAACGAATGGATATTTCACGGCCAACGGAAAATGCTACTTGGAGTCACGAGATTCTACGGAACTGGCGTAAAGCGCTCGTAAAATGTAGGCACGGAAGGTAAAAGGCCCCGGGGAGAGAAAGGGAGATAGAATGTACTCGATGGAATTCTCAGGACAGCTGAGTAGAGGTTAAGTATTTTAGTTGTTAGCAGACTCAAATGAAGCGTTAATTAATGTGTTCTTCCTCGAGAATGCCCCCTTCGGGAATATTTCTTCACGGTATATGCCATGCCATTTTGACAAACTAATGATATACGATTCCGTCGATTTTTATAGCATATCTTTCTATGACAGTTCGTCATCTACTATTGATCAATGTACATTTTATAACATATGCAAAATAATTCGGCAACTGCATTATTCCGACAACAAAAACCGCAAAATTGTGCAAAGGAAAAGAAATTGAAATGCATATTGTAATTCGCATGTTACATTTCAAGCGCATCGCGATACTGCAAACAATTCATTATAAAAATAAGCAAGTAATACTACGACGTGAATTACGAGTGTTTACCTATTCTCGTTGAATTGCTAGGATGAATGTTGCAAAATAAAGAAAACGTATTTTAGACCTCAACATTACAATGATGAACAATGATTTCATTTACCGCTCCTCATTTCACCCCGAGCTCTTCACATATGTGGACATTTGCGCCTCGCTGAATGACGAATGGCATCAGCATTAGCTGTTCATACGACAACTCGCGATGTGCCATTTAGGATGTCAATAATGCCTCCCGGTTGAGTGGTTTTTAATGGCAGCGATCTCTTGCACATGCCCGCTGGCTAATATTTAGGTTCGGAGCGAGAAAACAAGGAATATGTTAGCAGGGAATATGTTGGCAGCGGATTCATATGCCCTTCCTGGAGCCGTGAGTGTAGGCGGCGTTTGTGAATAATGTGTTTTTGCATGTTCATTCGTTCCGCGATTGCTGCTCATTAAGAAAGAAGCAACTGCACGGCCTCATGATTAAATTCGCTGCAATTATTTGCACACGCGTTATTAATGATACCGAAAGAGATTAGAGGAAAATTTAGTTTCCTCATCCAAACTGCCAACCACGCCCCTTATGACCTAAATCGCTTGTTATCGATTATGAAAAAATCATTCACTCTTTTAAGAGGATTAAATATTCGAATTGTAAATGTCATGGCCTGGTGTTGATAAACGAATTAATTTGAGAACACGAACTACGTAATGAACAGTAAATGCCGATTCTTGTATAATACTAGTTTTAGAGATGTTCAATATGATATGTATTTATGCATACAGTGAATAATTTTTAATTGTACTCGACTTTAATAAGAAATGAGGGTCATGTTCTTCACTATGCGCTTCCCATGCATCTTTCTTTACACATACCTTTTGGATAAATTCGCAGAATTTGATAAGCGATAACGTTTTTTAAATTTTTTTTTAATTTTTAAATTGGTGTGAACATACTATAAAAAGATATTTAACATTCATTGACACATAAACTAACAGGAACAAGTATTTAACGGTCAATTTAATTACACTCGTCTAATATTGAATATATTGGTTTTGAATTTTATCTGAAGTACTACTTTGATATAAAATTGCTTGTGTAAAAATACTTGGGTATAAAATTGTAAATGAATCATTAATGCACTTGTGCTGCAATGAAAGTGACACACGCATTAGTATTGTGCTGTGAAACTAAAGCTCACTGTGTGAGGTTAGAGTCGTTCAGACCAATGTTTTTTAATTGGACTTAAGTAGGGATGCTAATTATGTTGGCTATTTAATTTACGAAGTTTCAATAAAGTGTCGAAATTTATATTATTTCTTCCGGTAGGAAATTTTGACCCACATTATAAATACACCTCTTCCTTTTATTGCATCATGTCTAACAATAGAATGAACCAGGAATGTTATCTCGCCTCATTTGTCATTCCCCTCCCGTAGGGATGGGAGGTTTACTCATCAACTCCAAACACTGACGCCCGAATCCCGAATGTAGCGCTGCGCCCGTCCTTATTTATGTTCACAAGCGAAATGAGTAATTTGTATGCATATAACGTTACGCACTGTCGAAATATTTCGTGGTTCAATTCTCAAGTAAGCAAGACTTGGTTAAATTGAGTTTAAAATTGAATCCTTTTGAATGGGTATAATATAAATATTAATTCACCATATTCTAGAAGCAAATGAATGAAAGGTATGTAACATATTAGACTGACACCATTCAACTGAGAGAAGGTAACTTAGGTTTTTCAATCTTTTAAGAATCTAAATGTTGAAACCATTTTTGATTTATTGCCAGTTCCCGTGACAAATATTTTCATATACCTAATCCTATCGACACTATATTGGAAACTAAATGAAAATGTTATAAAATATACTTTTGTGGCAGTGCCTCTCATGGTTTATGAAATATCATCGGATATTCGCAATCCGGAGACTTCAGATTATTATGTGGTGAATAAATAAATTATTGGCTCAGTAACATGCTTCTTGCAAGGCAAGAACGAAAACAAAATGACAGGGAAGGTGAGAGAAACTTGAATAAATTACTATTAATAATAAACATGAAAATGAAATATGAAGTAGCAACAAATTCGTTGACGAAATTCTATCAACGTTCCGACGGAAAGATACCTTTTAAGTACTAAGATGTCTTCTTTCCCGTTTCATATTAAAAACTACTTGCTTCAATCTTAGCGTTCAAATAATTCCTACCCTACTTGCGTAACTTATGTCACATTTATATTGAACTTCATTAAATTCATCCCCTCATCCATTCATTCATCTCAATATTAACTCCGACCATGCACTGACATACACTGATCCTCCCAGATTCCTTCAGACGTCACCCTGCGGATTGAAATGAGTCGACTTCCGCGACCGGAAGAACCGCAAATGAAGAGACCTGCGTCGTGGCATCAACCGTCCAGAACCGCGTTGCGTCCAGCACTCACCTCCTCCTCCCGTTCCAGCGCCGCGCGCAGCACGGCCTCCTGGATCTTGATGGCCAGGGCCATCTCCAGCAGGCGGCCGCTGCGCTTCTCGACCAGGCGCCCGGCGGGGTCTTCCTCGGGCAGCGCCATCTTCGCACGCGCGAACCCCAGCGATCCTCCTTCCAGACAAGCTGCGCCGATTGTCCTCTCCGCGCCGCGTTAACCGGTTCCTTCGCTCGGGTGATCCTGCCGCGGCTGGGCGATGGAAAACCGACGCCGACGGCCGCCCGTGAGTCTCGACGCTGATATGATTAAGCGGCGGCTGCGAAGCGGTGGCGGCGGCGGTAGCGTTCGCGAAGACGGGCGCCGTGGCACTGGCGGGGTGGCGGAAGTCCTTGCCGTGCGTCCGCCCGCCCGTCCGTCCGTCTTCGCTCGCCTTACGACGAGTGCGCTGATTCACGGAAGCGGCGACGGCGGCGGCTTCGCGGTGAGCGGAAACCGCGGGCGGGAGCGCAGTGGGGCGAAATCACACCCTAAACGCGCACGACCCCTTTATTGTAGCGATTTCCATTACAATAAACATTCTTTTTTTCTTAGCAGAAGTAAAAGGAAACGTGAAATATTCTTCTCCCTAGTGCGAAATCGCGGTGGAAACGCGCAAGATTTGGATGATGTTTTTTTTTTTCTCTTCGTAGAAACAATATAAAATATTCTTCTCTTTCGCGTGTACCAGAATTTCTGTTTCATTTGGACGTTCATTTGCAGGATGAAAAATGTGCAAATTCCATTAGTAGCAACTTGTCATTGCACTAAGAAAATTATTTACATTCAGGAATGTTTCATTCAATTTTGCTGAATCAATTTATTTGCAGTGATTTCCGATACATATTTTTTTTGAAGAAGTAAATGGATGCAAAACAAATTCTTGTCTTTCAGGAGTAACAGAATTTCTATTTAAGTTGAACATTCATTTTCATGTCCAAAAAATGTGCAAATTTCATTAGCAGCAACTTGCTCTCACTATTAAGAAAATTATTTACATTCACAACTGGGTTATTCAATTTTGCAGGATCAGCTTGCAAAATGACTACGAAAAAACGCAATTTTTTACTCCATAGATTTATCGTTGTATTTTTATAATTTCAAGAACTACGAACAACTGCCGTTCATTTTGTTCTATAACCATTTCATCCCCAATCATCAGTTTCGTCTCTTACAGCATAGATGAATTAACCCGTTATCACCGAAAAGTTTTTTTTTCAGGCAGCTTTTAGTTTTAGGATGACACAATAACCATCTGCCATCTTCATTTTATTTCCCTCTTTTTTATAACCTTTTTAATTATTTTTTGTTTACATTTTAATTTATTTTTATAATTATTTTCTTATTAATTTTTTAGTTATAATTTCTATTTTTATTTTCTTTGACAGCCAGTCTTTCGGCCCACCGTGCGGGAGTGACGTCGCCGGCCTGCTGATTACCTCACGGCCGCTGCGCAAGCGAATGGGCGAGCGGGGGTGCGGACCTGAGCGAATGGTGTCTGGGTCACGACTTCGCGGAACGAGCGCTAAGCCCGTGGGTATTTTAGGATGTGACTGACAATTTCGCGATGACGTTTTAAAAACATTGCAATGAAAATATATTTGTTTGTTTCTAGAAGTGACCGCTGTCGCCCGACAGTGTGGTGGCGATCGTATATTTTTTTTAACAATAACAGGAAAATCCAGTTCTGCGAGGTTATTGGCAACCCTTTTTGGAAAGAAGTGACACCAGACGTATTTCTGGCGTAATGTTGTATAATACGAGTAGAAGACACAGCTAGATAATTGGCAAATTAATACATAAATTATTTATTTTTTGCATTATTAATTCATGTATTTATTATATATTTTATACATTTATTTTAATTTACATATTTTTAATGAATAAAAAGTATACATTTTCATTTCAGGATCTTTCAACACGTATGATTCATGGGGTCAAGTGTATCTTGATACCTTTTTAACATTTTGCTGATTTGGTAGGTAGGGCTCTAAACACACTTTTTTAGCAATGCCTAGAAGAAATGTGTATTTTTATAATTACTATTTTTTTGTTAGTCATTTCGTATTCCTGAAGAAATTACGTAAGCAACTTATGACCCTGTGAGAGGAATCATAGGTTACGTCTCACACCCAGAAACTCCGGAAAAATCCAAATACAATGAAACAGATTCGATTTTCTCTAAAAATACGAGTGTTTGATGTAGCCATTCCGCCTTGCCTACTAGTGACCGTAAAGGCTGAATTCTCGTAATCAGAGAATCACTACTGGCGGCACAGCAGACGTCATGCGAGAGCAAGGCTCCGAAGAAGAGCCCCCGTTAAATATTTCCTATACTTCAATTAAAACAAGTCTGTTGACCAAGTTCATCGAGATATTCAACGTCACGACAATGTATATAGTCTAAGGTAACTGCAGCTTCTGATATTCTTGCAGGGGCATGGGTAGGTTGGTGCAATCGATGTGGGGCACCTAGGTCCTGGAAGTCGTGGGGCCCCTGGCACCTGGGTCATGGACGTCATGGGTCCCGGAAGTCATGGGGTCATGGAAGTCATGGTAAACACACCCGCCGACCTCCTATTAAAATGATAATGGCCATAAGGGATCCCGTTTATACTTTCCACACCTCGAGTACGTACCTAAGTTTCTGTTTTTCTTTCTTAATTTAATTTTTGTATGTAAAGAATGGTTGTGTACTATAAATTCTATGCTGTTGCAGTATCAGTGAAGACTGTTTCTGTTAAAATATTTAATTTACCGCAGTGTTCTGCGATAACATTTTATTTGATGTTTTTACTCAGTGTGCAGCTTCCTTTTGAAAATCGATGTTTTTTCAGTACTATTTTTTTTTTCTTTGCTCAATGAACTAATTATATTACAAATTTCCAATACGAGCGGAAATTTAAAGATAACTATCCAGCCTCCGACCATGCGAGAGGTGCCTATGGTTTACGTTCAATGCGCAGAAAATTCGGGAAATATCTGAAAGCAGTGATACAATTTCGATTTTGACTGATGAACTCAAATATTTGAGTTTGGATTACTCAGCTCACTCTCCTATTGTGCTAACCGAATGATTTCTCACACTCAGTGCGTCACTGATGACGTCATGTACGACGTCACCCGTCACCGAAGATGTGAGGATGAGGGCGCGCGCTATTAAATATTTGCAATTCACGTGTTGCATTATGCAACAATGTTTTTGATATTCTTTGTATGTAAAGAACCGATGTAATGCGTATGTAATATACCACGATATAGCAGTTTCCATGAAGACAAATTTTGCTGAAATATTTAATATATTATAGTGTAACATGGGAGTATTTTATTTGTCGCTCTTGAGCAGTATGCGGGCTACTTTTCAGAAAACATTTTTGTGTAGTTTTATTCAGCGTTACTGCTGCTACAGGGAAAAATTATTACTATGATTATTATCTTTAAGTTTCCCCTGCGTATTTAACATATTCACTAAAGAGGACTCTTAAAATAACTTAAAATCATTATACGTCTTGAATTGTTAAGCAATTCACACCATTCTTTATAATTGTCGTTAGAAAAGTTCCCCAAAGCACTTTCGTAAGAAACGCTATCCCCATTATTATGCAACTAGATATAATTCCAATCATATCTTCCCCGCGAGACGGGATTTTGGGATAGGAAAGCCGAGGCATACGAGAGGCGTCCCATTCCCACGGCGTGAAGCCAGCGCACGGAAGCGGAGCTTATGAGGGGGCGGGGCCCGCTTCTCTCTCTCCGCCCCCCCCTTCTCCCTCTCCGCGCGCCAACTCCCTCGAGGGACGCGATCGGCCCACGCACACTGGTTCCAAATTCATACACGGGCACCAAAACACACTCCGGAAATAGTCAAAAACACCAAAATGAGTTCAACTTGCCACCAAATTTGAACTTTTCGTACGCAAGGTGTGAGTTAACGAATATTTTAGCGAAAGACAGATTGAATTCATGAAATAAAGTTTTGTACTGCAGTGTTTTGCATTAAGAAAATAATTATCCACGAAAGAGTGCACTAAATAAATACGAAGAACTCTTTTGTAATTCAATACGAACAGTGAGGAATACAGCTTCAAGGGTCATTTCGGCAACTCCTGTAATTTAATTAAACGTCGTTAGTCAACGGAAATATTGACGGATGATGGCGAAAAACGGGACATTGAAAATAAACAAGTAAAACAAGAAGTTAAATAATGTTGTAACGTTGGATAAGTTGCAAATCGTTCTTGTCAATGACAGAAAATTCTGTCGTATGCGAAAAAGTCTTTCGTGTTATTGCGGCCCACTGGGTGGCCCGATCGAAGAGAAGTGGAGCGGCCGCGGCGGGGGCGGCGGTTATCCGAACGACGCCCTTTTTACGATTATTCCCG